CACACACGCAATTTTGGCAGACCTTTAGAAAAGGGTTAACCATCACTGGGCTTTATCTTTAATTGCCAGTAAATGCCTTTACATGCAGTTATAGGGCTTTCTGCTGGCTTGATTAATATTTTTCAGATTGTGATACCCCCTATAGGCATTCAAAAGACGACAAAATGTGTGAAACGGTTGGGATGTGTCTCACAATCCAATTTCTCCTTCCTCTGGCGATCCCCGTGTCGAAGGGAAATGTCTGTAGGAGGCTGAAATTGTGTTTGGGTGATAACAACCCTCCATGGAAGTTCAAACTGTTTAATAACGGAGGGTCATCTGTGTGTCAGACTGGAAGTGCCAGACTCCTTCATAAAAGTGTCTCCTGTGTATGAAACATTAGCTAATTGTGCTAATGATTGGTATCACTTGAGACTGAAGTGTCAAGTTCTGGAATCCTGATAGTGTGGATACATTTATCATTCCCACTGGCAGCCAATTTAGGTGATTTCTGTCAGGACTGACTCCAACATAGGACTTTTTAGAAGCAAAGAGGAAGCGATCGGCGTGCTTGAGGGGAGGCTAACAAAAGGACAACTAATCTTTAAAAGAGAGAAGTGAGAAACAAGAGAACTCAGCGCATCCGGATTCAGACCACTGGGAACTCTGTATCTATTGAGGCCGTGGGATATTGAATGCTAGATGTGGGCAGTGGGATGATTTGTAGAATATATTGGTCCCGAGCAAAGCTCCTGTCTCTATTCCAGTTGGTTTGGGGGGGTTTCCCAGATTTTTCCTGCCTGCAGAGTCCCCAATTCATCCACAGCCCAGTGGAAAGATGCTTGTGCCTCGGAAGGCCCAAAAATGTTTATGATGAGCTTTCTGGAGGACACCACAGCCTGACCATTTTCAGTGAGGAGAGATTCCCTCGTGCCAACAGGCTGTGCAAAGCACCCTTCAAATCCATTACAAAATGTTCCTTCAAATTCTTTGCCAGCCCTCGTCAATATCAGGGGGGGGGGGGATAAAATGTAAAGTGCCATTGATGCCTGTGATGGTTGAATGTTTTTAAAAGACGAATATCTTTTTTTTAAAAAAGTGGGGGGGGAAATGCATATGTACAACAGTGTACAAGAATCAAGGGTTCTAATATAAATCTGTCTCAAATGAACTGTGTAGTTTTAAAGTAGGATTGTGTTATGGACAATTTACTCAACAAGAATACTCCCTCTGCTGGGTTAATGTAGGAAGGTAGCCTCCAAAGAAACATTGTCTATGGGAAGTAATAAGCAGTGGAAGGCACGAAACATCCTGAAGATGAGCATTTGTGGGAAACCAACATGAAGAATGAATTGTGGAGGCGAGAAGTTTAGTTCATATTTGAGTGAGATGAGCATCACTACGGAAGGAATGGGATCTTATTCCCAGTCACACACAAAAATAGAGCCTCTGAACTGATGCAAAACGGATGTTGTTCTCGTCCTTTTCCCCAAATGTAGATTTAAGAAAGGTCATTTAATTGTGCGCAGCCATTTCACCTTCTCTAACCAGCAGTGGTCAGAGTGCAGTACTGCAGGCTACTTCTGCTGACTGCCGGCTGCCTGCAATTTGGCACTTCAGATCTCACCAGGCTCAAGGTTGACTCAGCCTCCCGTCCTTCCGAGGTTAGCAAAATGAGGAATCAAATCGTTGGGGGCAAGAGGCTGACTCTGTAAACCGCTTAGAGAGGGCTATAAAGCGGTATATAAGTCTAAGTGCTATGGCTATTGATGGAAGGGATGTCAACTACCGCAGTGAAGAATTGATGCTTCCCTTACGTTCTTTGTCAAGTACTGTAGGACCCATGACTGTAGTAGCTCAGTCAGAGGGGCTGCATTTTGCTACTCAAGTAGTAATACTACAACTACTGCCTTCGCATCATAATACCCCCGGGCATCTAAAATGAAATAAATAAGTTTGTTAATGCTAGACTGCAGAAAACTGAATGGGTCTTTCGTTTGAAAATGGGGGATAAAACTAAATCAGGTTTAGCTATTTTGTGGATTGAAAAACAAATAAAGGAGAGGTCGTATGATATAACTATTGAGAAAAAGAAGAGGATTTCTCTTTATACACTTCACTGCTTACGTGGAGAAGGTAGTCTTCAACCTTCAACACCAATTGGAACCAGAATTTCTGTTACTAAGCGAGGCGGTTGTTAAGTGCACCTGATTTTATCACCTTTTTTATTATTTTATGGTTGTAAGCAAATCACTGCAGTTGTTAAGTGGATCTATCTTTCCCCATTGATTTTGCTTAGCTGAGCAAAGGGAAGATCACAAATGGTGATCACGTGACCCCAGGGATACTGGGACCATTGTGGGAAATACCTGCTGTTTGCCAGGTGCCCAAATTTTGCCCATATGGCCGTGGAGACGGTGAAACAGTCTTAAGCATGAAGACGCTGATAAGTGATTTTTTCAGTGCTATTGTAACTTCAAATGTTCCCAAAACGAGTGGTTGTAAGTCAAGAACTACCCCGCTATCCTGAAAATAAGACCTCCCTGGATAATAAGCCCAATCGGGTTTTTGCTGAAAGAAGCCCTCCCCCAAAAATATTGCAACACAGCAGCAGCCACGAGGTGACCACGCTTGACGTCTCCTGAACCNATATTTCATTCAATGGATTGAAACCCTGATTGCACTTATCACCTATGAGTTTCAGAGGTGGAATTCAGCAGGTTCTGACCAGTTCTGGAGAACCGGTAGCGGAAATTTTGAGTAGTTCAGAGAACCGGTAGCAGAAATTTTGAGTAGTTCAGAGAACCGGTAGCGGAAATTTTGAGTAGTTCAGAGAACCGGTAAATACCACCTCTGGCTGGCCCCGCCCCCATCCGTTCTCTGCCTCCCGAGTCCCAGCTGATCAGGAGGGAATGGGGATTTTGCAGTAACCTTTCCCCTGCCACACCCAACAAGCCACACACAGAGAACCGGTAGTAAAAATGTTTGAATGCTACCACTGATGAGATTGCCTATAGACATTAGACTATATATGAACAAATATATTGAAATACCGGACTCATTTATACAAAATACAGAGGTTAAAATATATAGTTGATGTAGTTAAACCGTATAAATGTATTAGAAATATATGTATTTGAATAATTGTGTTAGATAACTGTGTGTAGAATTATAACTACAATCAAATTGATACAACTTCATTTTTGTTTTTTGTATTTGTTTGCTTTAAAAAAACGATTTTCATGTGTCCCCCCCCTTTTTTTGACAATGCATGTATTTTTTTTTGTTTTTCTGTCATAATTTTTAAAAGCAATACAGTAAAAAAAAAAAGAGACTAATTTCAAAATTAGTATCAGATAAGAGATATTTGTATTATTTTACATTTAAAAGATAATGATACACAACTTCCTTTGTATCTACCTTTAATACTATTAACTGTTCTCTTAACAATTCGGATGCCTCATGGTTCACATTGATTAGGATTGATTTAATTGTTATGTCAATTCGTAAGAACCCTTACTATCATATTATCTCAATCGTATTATTATCAGGTCATATTTGTCAGAATGAATCAGCAGGGTGGTTCTACCTGAATGTCATGTTTTGTGTTCTGTTTAAGGCCATGCCCACCTCACCGATTTTAACATTGCAACCATCGTCAGAGATGGAGAAAGAGCCACTGCTCTAGCTGGGACTAAGCCTTACATGGGTGAGTGGAGACATTTCTGTTACTTAACGATGTGCTTTGCCTGCATATTCATTATGGGCTGTGATGGATCATGTTCTTCAGGCAACCAGTGGCATTAGGGTTTTCCTTGGAAAACTATGACTGTCACAATACAAGTGATTTAAAACTCACTGTGAGACGGAAAGAAATAAAAACCGCCTGTTCCTGTAACAAATTAATTAAAATGATATTTATTATTTTAGGGGCAGAACCAGAGAAGGTTTTTGTTGTGAAATCTCATCTTTCGTTTGTAATCCTCTACTGTTTCTGATGCTTTTTTTTCTACACAGACTCCTTAATGTAAAGGAGTCAAATAGACAATGGACAGACTTTTATTTCCTTTCATAATACTAAGAGCCCACTATGTGGAAGCATCTTGAATACTAACCTCTCCTCCCCTCTCCCCAATCTCCTAATACAGTGGTATATCTTGGTACTCAACTGATTTTGGTACTCAACACATTTTGACATGGAAATTTTGTCTGGTACTCATCGTTTGTTTGGTACTCAACACAGAAACTAAAACTTATCAGTGTCAGTTTCCTTGTGACTTATTACATTAATTTTAATAGGAAAAAATCATTTAGTTTTGATACTCATTGTACCAAAATGTACATCCTTGAAAACGTCACCTTTTCCTATCTTAGATCCAAAATTGTATTTGTCCACTCAGCCCAAATGAAATATACATTTTCCTACTAAACTGGTTCATCTTTTGAGATTCTGTGACATTTACTTTGTTGTGTTTGTGCGCATGTATGTGTCCTGTACCATATTTGCGCATGTATAATATGATATATTAGAGTCATTTGGGTATAATGGTTAGGATGCCAGGCTAGAAACTAGGAAACTGTGAATTCTGGTCCAGCCTTAGGCACAAAGCCAACTGGGTGACTTTGGGCTTGTCGCTCTTTCTTAGCCCTAGGAAAGCATTTCTGATCAACCTTTTGACTAAAGAATTTCAGGAACTTGTCCAGAGAGTCTCTAAGAATCAGACACAACTGAATGGGAGAAAAGAAAAGGAAACAAAATGTATTTAGCATATGGCAGATCATGCATGGACTAGCAATATATATTAACCTTTCACCTAGATTAGTAAAACACAATAAAAAATAAAGGTTAAAAAGATGTAAATTCAAATACCAATGTCTAGGCCATCTAAACATTGAAGCGCAGCATTGTTTATATTAAAAAATAATAATATTTAGCTTATAGTAATCCTCCCACTGTTTGTTTATTTTGCCCTAGGCATAAAATAATCATCTAATTTAAATCTATTTATATTTCCTTCTCTTAAAGAGATTAATTAGGCTTAGGAATGCTTTAATTTTATATTTCATTAATTGAACCCTTTTGTGTCTTGGTCCTTCATTGATATTGGCTATTTATACTGTGCTTCCCTGAAAATAAGACAGGGTCCTATTTTCTTTTGAACCCCAAAATAAGCACTTGGCCTTATTTTGGGGGAGGTCTTATTATTTTTGAGGTGCAGGAGGCAGCGAACATGGTTAGCTCATGGCTGCTGCTGTGTTGCAATATTTTCAGGGGAGAGTTTTATTTTAGCGCATGCGCTCAAAAGCCCGATTGGGCTTATTATCCGTGGAGATCTTATTTTCAGGGAAACAGGGTATCAGAAGGCAGCTATACGTAGATTACATCTCCAAGATTAAGCATATGATCCATCTACCTTTCAGAGCTGTAAACAGTCTCACTTAATTCTAGAAAAATGCAAGCTATTGGGGGGGGGGCGTTCATATTAGCAACAATTTCTTAATTTTCGCTTTATATAACTATACAAGTACTATTACCAATCTGGAGTCTTGAGGTCTGAACCTCTGCTTTCAGCTGGCTTATCTTCCCAAATATTTGGTCCTACATATGAAGTCAACTTGGGATTCTCTTTTAGCCAGGATGCCCAGTTGAACTTAGAAGTTCTTGTGTCTCATTGACCTGTGATTAAACCCCACTAAATTTGTTAGAATATCTGGTTTTATAACTATGGGAATATGCGAACTATGGGAACTGAAACTAACAATGATGGAGGTATTAAACGATGTCCTTGTTTTTCTTTTCAGCTCCGGAGATCTTTCATTCCTTTCTGAATGGAGGATCGGGCTACTCCTTTGAAGTTGATTGGTGGTCTCTAGGAGTGATCGCATATGAGCTTCTGCGTGGATGGGTGCCTGGCATATCTTTTATTTTTTTAAAAATACTTGGAGATTGCTTTTCCCCATTAAAGTGTGGGGAATAGGTTCATTGATTCCAAGACAATGAACATACAAATCAGTGGAAGTTAAAAAGTCTTATTGAAGAAAAATGTAACAGAAACAAGACAGCTAAATAGGAAATTCCAACTTTCTACAGATGAGTGTAAATTCAGAAGAGAATTTAATGTTCCTCAGCTGTTGGAAGCTTCACACAATTTCCTTTAACGTATAGTAACATTCCTAAATTGAGCCATACTGAAGCTGATCCCTAGTATTTCAGAGTTCATTTTTTCTACCAGTTATTCATATTTCTAATTAAACACACTTCTTGTTTGTCAGACACCAACAATTTATGTGAGGCAGTACCAGTCCTTAACATCACGTTCTCTCTCCCATAAATGGCCCACCTTGGATTTGCTCTCTTAAACTAGTCTGCATCTGTGTGTCTCTGTTTCTCGGTCTCTCTATTATCCATCCACCCATTGTCCATCATCTGTCTGTCTGTCTGTCTGTCTGTCTGTCTGTCTGTCTGTCTG